ATAATGAAACAGAATGAAAAGATAAGATATAAATTCTAAAAAGAAAAAGATAAGAATAAAAATAAATGAAATCTGTTAATGAACCATTTCTGAAGCATTTCTGAACTATTATTAAACCGTTTGTGAACTGTTATTGATTTTGAGGTTAATTACTCATTGATGATCTTAGAACATTGCAAAAACATTGTTGAATTGTGATTGAATCCATAACTGATATACCAATTATATTATTCGGGATCACATATTATCCAAAAATCAATTGATTGGTCATATTTTCTAAGTTTGAAAAATTATGAAATTAAAGAAATTTATGTTACTACAGTAATACTGATCTTAAACTTGGGATGGTAATTGGAAAAGATATAATAAAGGATTTTTATCGTGGGAAAAATATAAAAAGCGAAAACTTAGAAAAAATAGACACCTGGATAGATCATAGATAGATTTTTCTCTACTAAGTAATGGGAAGGAACTGTCTTTTATAGGTTAGGGCCTGGCAGGCTAAATAAGCAGGTAATGGTCTTTTCATTGCTTTTTCTCCCTTGAAACAACTGTTACTCTAGTATTCATTATATTAGTTAGCCGGTCCCTTATTCTCAATATTCATTTTACAAAAATAAAGAATTATGCTTTGACCTTGTTTAATTATGCATTGCTGAGTAATTTTTCTTCGTTATCTGACTCCACCAATAGTTGAATCTTGAATCTTAATTGTGTAGTTAGTGTTATCTAGCTTGCATATCTGATTTTTCACATACATGTATATCACCTTTTTTACCCACAGTTGAGCCAATAACAATTCCCTCAAAAGCCTGACTTTACCAAAGATATGCCAGCTTTATGAACTCGGTGAAACAGATGATTCTTATTATCTGTATTTTAGTTGCAAATAATGATAAACAAACAATTATGTCTGGCTTACAGAGGCTTCATTACTTTAAAAATAATACATTATGGAGTTTAGAAAATTTTCTATACTGGAGTTTATTCTATACTCATAACTTTGGAAGTAAAGATAATGAATATCGTATTTACAAGATGTATTTAGAAAATATTCATAAAGATCCGGATCTAATAAAATCTTGTGATAATGAAACAGTTCAAAAGTCAGCAGAAGAGGCCTTAGAGAAATTTACAGTTTGTAAACTTTATTTTATCATAAAGATTTTAACCAAGAGGGGCTAGGATACGTCTGACAGCCCACTGGACACGTCTGGTAGGACATCTTAGGATAAGTCTGAATTAGTTAAAACTATTGTGATATCACAAATTTGCTATCACAAATTTGCTACTAATTTAATCTAGAGGTGCTAGAATACATCTGACAGCCCACTGGACACGTCTGGTAGAGTACCTTAGAATAAGTCTGAATGAGTTTTTTTTTTACTTTATTCATTTAGAATGAAATAAATTCAGCTCAAATTAATGACCTTTGGAGAAAGTGTCTATCCTTTATAGAAACTTTGAAGAAAGCAATAGACCTTAATGCTGATAAGATAGCTTTCCAAGTGGTGGGTTACATGATAACCTCAGCGATACAATATTTAATATTACTCAAGATTAATTGCGATTTGGTTTTGATATTATATTTAAATCTTCATATTTTTTGTTTTAATTGAGTAAACTTAATAATGAATATTGGTAATATTGTTAGAGCGTAAATGGTCTTATTTTCCTGAGGAAAAGTCACACGAGTTACAACCAAAAAAGAAAAAATTAACAATTTTTCTGAAGAGACAAATGATAACTATAATGGTAAAAAATCTCTCACAGTAATGATATGCTTTATTGTTTTTAACTCACCTTTTTGTACTTTGTAGTCTATTTTCAGATAGAAAATAAATTAGATATTTGACTAGAAATTAGATTAACGAAGCTAATTATTTGCATTTTAATGCTTTTAGAATGATAGTTCTGAAAAGAAAGAAGTCCAGAGGGATACTATATTAAATAAATCGATCAAAATTATTGATGACTCAGACAGTGACACTGAATCAATTAATGGAGATAAGGGTGAAGAAGAAATTAAGATGCTTATACAGGTATTTATTTATTTGCTACTCTTAATGTTTTTTATATAACTAATAATAATTATTTAATTTTTCAGGATGAGATAGACATCCGTAACAAATTACTCAAGATTCTTACTGTATGTCAAAAAAAAGATAAAGAAGATGGAAAAGATTTTTTGATATCAATATGCCTTAATAATATTATAAATTTATCAGACAATAAAACATATAAACATGTTAAAAAGTCCTTGAATAAGGATCAAATTTCTTGGCTTGAAGGGGTCCTCCAAAAAAAATATTTGGAAACCTACTTCAGAATTTACGGAATATATCAACTAATTCATGGAAGAAACCTGTACTTGAACTAATATTTCAACAATTATTCACAAATTCTGTGTTACTGGGAGATTTGATTCTTTTTATCACGAAGCACATGATATTTCTCAGCATATACTAACACATTTGTAAGTATTCTTATGTTGATAGTTAATATTAATTAAAATTCCTTATGATTAATTTTTTCAAAAATAGTTCTTTACACTTAGAAGCACTTATGAGAGTCAAGTACAAAGGCCTCAATTTAAAAAGAACTTATGCTATAGATACAATAATTTACATTTTAAATAGGTTATTTAGGATGTACCAAGACGAGTTGGATGTTGCTTGGTAAGTATCAATCTAAATTTTAAATTTTAAATTATAACCTTACTAATTAATTGATTTCTTTAACTAAGGATTGAACAAGTTACTCCAGATACAAAAAAAACATAAATTTGATGGGTTATATAAAGTTATTAGCACAAGAGGCAAAGGTTAAACTATCATCATTATTAAATTTTCACGTGAAAGAACAATTCTCATGTTCAAGAGAGATGATGATTCGCTTAAGCTTTGTCAAAATGCTATAAGAACCTTAAATGTATTGTTAGGAAAGGTACTCAAGGAGCATACACGTATCTACTTAGTGCAGTCATTTGATAAGTAATTATAATTAGGAGTTAGATCGTATAAAATTACTTTTTTTGATATATGTTTCTTTATAGACGGATTTGTTAAAATTAAGTATTTAGTTCGGCCACTACCAACAATTTATATGTTACAACAATTTGGATGTATCAAAATATCTGCTACCTTTGGTGATTTCAAACAGTTTTCAAAAGACATGATATACTTGATGGATTGGCAGGTAGAGTATTGAACATGTTGATAGCTCTATCAAATAAATAATAATTTTTTTTTTACAGACAGATATCTTGTCAACAGCTAGAGCAATAAATAAAGCAATCATGAATTTTATGAAAAATAATAATAATATTTGCATAACTTCAGTGAATGATACTTCATGGAAGAAAGAAAGTAACAAAAATCAACCCTTACCTAAATCCCCATCTCCCAGTTTCTCTTCATCAGGTCGCGATTTGATGCATCATCTAGATTCATCAGTTCATGAGAAGATTGATTTAAATGATTTAGATAATACGCTATTTAAATCAAAAAATTCAAAAAATTGATATCAACTGATTTTATAATGTATCGTTAATAATAAAAGTAAAAATTATATTTGATATCTAATCATTAATTCATGTAATTCTATAAATAATGGAATGACTAAGTAATCAGAATCTTTATTTCATAAATGATTTGTAAAATTTTTATTAGAATTTTTGACGACAGGCTATTGCTGAAATCTTTGTTACTTTATACATTTTAAATAAATAATATATATATAAAATCTATTACTAAACCATGCAATCTGAGGTTGATTCATTAAAACAATGAATTTCTGAGCTTGAAGCCGAAAAGGCTGAGCTTGAAGCCAAGAATACTGAGCTTTTAAAACAGGTTATGGAAGAAAGCATCAAATACGAAGCTAAGAATGTTGAGCTTAAAGCCAGGATCACCAAATTAGAACAGATCACAGAAGAAAATACTGAACTTAAGGATAGAATTACAAAATTGGAACAGACGCAGGCTATTACTAATAAACAGAAGCCATCTCCTACAAAAGATATTTCACCACTTATTGAGAGCCATTCTGATGAGGAGAAAGGTATTATTCCTAATTCCTTACCTGAAATAGAACATAGCTCAACTCAATCTGAATTTTCAACAGAGTCTGGAACATCTACAACCTCTTTACCACAATATATTATCGATGATGATTCAGCTGAGATCCTAGATTTTGTAGAAGCGATACATAAGGAAAGAATTAGTAGTAAGATAAGAGAGAGGAACCGGGAAAAAAAACTTCAAGAATCACATAATAACTTAACTCCACCGATATAATCAATCATGTCAACACCTAAATCTCTGGACTCGAAAACTGTGAAAAAGTTTTGGGATCAGAATCAAAATAAAAGCCAGGACAAAATATTCCAATCGCACAAGAAAAAGAGAATAGAGAATATCATGCAAGCAATAGCTGATGGTATTCAGAATAATAGTCTTCCAGATGAGTTAGAGACTCGAAGCTTTGCTTCCTTAAATCATGTAACTGAAATTTCAGTAACGGCCCATCATCAAAATTGTTCTACAACCCCATTACTCAATTTAGTGCAATTATTTGATAAAGTAACTGATACTAAATATTATGTTGTGAAAGCTAATTAGGAAGAAACCTTATGCTGGAATAACTATAGAAAAGAATTCATAATTCAGTATAATGATCTTATTAAAAATAGTAATGGAAAAATTGGTGAGAAGAAGGTGAAGGGTATAATTTATGATAAAATATTAGAGTATCTTACTATTATCCGTGAAAAAAGGTCCAAGAAAATGGAATTACAACTTCCAGAAATCTCACGTAAAACTTTATGTAGAAAAACCCAAAGGGCTATAAAGACTTATAAATTATTCGAAAAAATAGGTATAGATAAAATTAAGTATCTTAAAGCATACAGTGCAAATTCTATTTCAGAACTGACCAATGATCAAATCCAAAAGATTATCGATAATATTTCTGATCATGAAGAGTCCAATATAAAGGAGGAATCAAATCACATGACTGAAATTTCAACGACAGTCCATCGTCAAAATCATCAAAATCATGTAATCAAAATTTTATCTGAGGCAAATACACCTATCGAAGAGACAAAGTCTCAGCGTCAGCTGGCTAAAGGCCGAGTTTCAGACTTATCTATTTCTATTGATTCAAAAACTTTACCAGAAACTAAGGTAAGTATAACATCAAATCCAACCCATAACCATGCTTACTTTCATAATAAGATACTATGATAATATTCTGATCTATATAAAATAATTATTACTGAAAAATTTGATTATTATGGAATTATTGAGGGTTCATTATGCCTAATATGTAAGCAAAGTCATGAGAATGGGAAAAGTGTAAAAGGTAGATACGAAGCTGGATCTTATTTTATTAAATGTAGAAAGTATGAAATCAAGATAGCATAAATAATCAAGTCATCCAAATATAGCCACTATGTGACTGCCTTTGACAAATTCTCTGATTTCAAACATCTGCAGATTAGTTAGATCCGAAAGGTCATCACTTTGCAATATTATATTTACTTTTTTAATTACTGAATATGTACAGAGTATTAGCACGTAGTATAATAATAATAAGCGGTTATTTTGACTCCAGCTCTGACGACTCATACTTAATTTGAATTTGCAATTGTATAAAATAATAATATGGATAAAGTCTATTTCAGAGAAATGACACTTTGTACCTTAACCCCTGAATATTTGGACTAGTATGCTAAATTGGTTGAAGTATCAAGTTCTTTGACTAATAAAATTTGGTTGATCTTATATAAAGTATATACGAAAGAGACTGGGCTCGATCCCTGGATAAAGTCTGAAACTTCTGAATTTCCACAAATCAAAAAGACTGATAATTACCTTTCATAGGATTGTGTTATCAAAATTTCTAAGTTTCCAGAAGATAAAAACACAATTCATGAAGCAGCACATAAATATTTCCCTTTCTTATCTTATACTAATTCGAATACATAGCATCAGGATATATTTAAATATACCAATTCAGAAGCTAAATACCTGATATGTAAAGAAGTTCATACTTATTTAGGTATATGAGGTGACTGGAGCTGTCTAGATAAAAATGATCATTATTTTCTTAATTGCCCTTTTCGTATCAATCAAAAGAAAATTATTATTGCTGTACAGAGTTTACTGGAAAACAAGATAAGAGTATCAAACAAAATCTATAACTCACCAACCTGTCCAAATGAAAACTGCCTTTATCAATATGCCATTGAACATAAAATGGATCCCAAGAAATTTTCAATCATTACTGAGGCTGAGAAAAATAGATGGGCCATGGGGTGTTTTCCTGCTGATTTAGAAAGAGATATACGCTTTTATCATGAAGGAATAAAAAGAGATGAAGATACCAGAAAATATCATAAATTTTTAATGGATCGAGATAGACTGATTGGTGAAGAATTATTATGTCATGATATACTAAAGAGCGGTTTAAGTACTACATGGCTTGATAATCTTATAGAAGAATGGGAGTTTCTTAAAGCAGAGGTTCGTTAAAGCAAGGCAAGCCATTTAGCTGATTTAGCCACATTACGTCACATTTGATCAGTGACACATGATTCACATGATCTTACCATTTGATTGGTAAATTAAAATCTGACCAATAATGGCTGCAAAATCAAAGGTAATTTTTTTAAAAAAAGTATTCTAATTATATACACAGCATGCTAAATTCGATATTATGATCATGTGAAGGAGGCAGAAGTTGGACAATAGTAATTACGCAATAAAGAGATGATACAGATCACTCAAAGTGATTCTTCACAACTACTTATTAGCAACTCCTTGTTTCAATTTAATAATATAAAATTTAATTATCAATTCATCGCTAAAATGAGCTCTGAATGTAGTCTCTATAATAATTATTGCTTAAAATTTTATTATTTGCTTAAAAATTTCACATAAACATAGGAATTTCATTATATATTAAATATTCTTAAAAGCATGTACAAGCATAAAATAAGAGGAAGAACTAAAATTATTGTTTTTTTGTATTATAATAAAATATTTCTTACTAAAGAACAGATGTCAAAGCCTCTTCTAAATTTTCAATGAATCTTGTCACTTCTTCTATATTGTTCTAATCCACCAAATGATAATATCAATCTCTTGCCCTTTCAAATAATTCGCTCATTATTAAATGATTTTTTTCTACAGTCATCTCTGTTTCTGATTGAGGTTGGAGTATTTCCATCAAACTGTGAGACTGGTATATCTCCAAGCCACTTTTCTCAAAAGTTTCTTGAAAACTTCTCCATGTTTTTGATGTCAGAATATTAGCATTACTACAGAGTTGCATGTAAAAAATATGATGACAGGGCAGGAGATAGTGATTGAAGAATTTACAATCACACTCTGCAACCAAGAGATTTGATACATCTTTTCCTTCTTGTAATTATTTTGAAACTGCATGTGCCTCTTCTGCGATGAGCTTCTGGATTGAAAAGGGGAATTTGTGAATCTCAGCAAGAACTGCTAGATCTATATTAGTAATAGATATTATTTTTGTGTGAAAATTGATGATGGCTTCTTTTGTTATTATTTTCTTCTTTTCATCAAGTTTCAAGATTATATGGCATGTACCTAAAAACGATAAAGAAGCAAAAATGAATCAAAATAAAAAAAATGATAAATAGGAAGAGATGGGCAAAGATTAAAAAAATGAAAAAGAAGCAAAGAAAAAAAATAATAAAGGGAGGAAGGGAAATGAAAGAGAAGAATCAAAGAAAAAAAAAGGAAAATAAAAAGAATGAATGGTAAGAAGAGGGGAAAAATAAAAGAAGAGAATTGAAGAAAAAAAAGGAAAATGAAAAGAATAAATGGTAAAAAGGGAGAGGGAAAATGAAAGAGGAGAATCAAAGAAAAAAAAAGGAAAATGATAAGGAGAGAAAAGAATGAACAGTAAAAAGGAGAGGGGGAAATAAAAAATAAATGATAAGAAAAGATGAACATAAAGAATAAATGATAAGAAGGGGAGAAAATAAAGAATGAATAATGAAAAGAGAGGGGAAATAAAGAATAAATGATGAAAATAAAGAATAAATGATGAAAAGGAGAGAAAATAAAGAATGAACAATAATAATAAAGAACAAACAATAAACAGAAGAGAAAATAAAGAACAAATGATGAGAAGGGATGAAAATAAAGAATGAATAATAGAAAGAAAAAATAAAGAATGAATGATAAGAAGGAAAATTAAAAAAAAACAGAAAAAAAAAGAAACAAAAAATTAACCTACTAATGATGCTGTGTGTAATAGAAGTTCTTGTTTTGAGTTTGCTGTGATAGGACTCAAGAGAATTTATCAAAGTTACTTGAAGAAGAAAAGGTGAATGCTGCTATATCCAGAGTATCTACTTTTTCAAATTCTTCAAATAATTTTGGGAAATATACTTGGCATTAGCTTGTAAAAAACATGTAGTTATCACATCCTGAACAAGTGCTTCATAATCAATCTGAGTTTTTTGTGCATCACTTGGATCATTTTATTGAGAGTTGGTCCATGATAAATATTTTTGATCCAGCTTCAAACAATATGAATAGTACATAGGAGAATGTTACATTCTTGCTCTCCTATATAGAGACCAGGAAAGATGGTCATAATTCTGTTAGCTTTCACGCTACTCTAATCAAACAACATATATCTTGGTCTCTATTGGAGAGTGAATTTTTGGATTATTTTTAATCCTGCTATAACTATAGCACTGTTCTCATTACTAGTGAAAAAATACACACCCACACATCAATAACTACAACCATCTCAAATATAAATTGTGAACAAATGCCAATCATACTTATTAGTATTATGAGTAGAATCGATCAATAATAACTATTCATAGTACGTTAGATTCTCTAATTATATAAAACTTGCAAAATATAGCCCTTGATATAATATTTGAATAAAAAAGAACTTAACATAATTTTTTTTTGAATTAAAAACTTATACATATCCTGAACATCAGCATTTAAATTGATATTTCTGATGAGATACAAGATTATTAGATCTATGAGTTTCAATTTAATATTTGCAACTTCTCAAGTTCTAAGATATTCTATACTAGAGTTTTCATGTAATTTGAAAAGTTATTTTCAGATCACGCTAGTAATCACAGGGGGCTTATACTCCTTACAGCTTTATTAGTTACTGCACCTTTAATAAATCTTGATCATTTTCATATATCACTTTCTTCAATTAAATGAGAGTGAGCAGAGAAATCTTTATAATTTTCAATTTGGATCTTGTCTGCAAACCAAGTGATTTTAATTCTAGTCTTACACTTGATTGAAGAATACTTCCAAGTTGTTCAAAGTTTATTGAGGAGGATACTAACTTTGCATCTACTTGATTGTTGGAGTTTTGAGAGCCTATATACATACATTTTCTACTTGCTTCTATTTGATAATTTATTTTCATTAAACCTAGTTCATATATTGTTAATAAATGCCCATTTCTTATCAAATTCTTTGAGAGGAAATTTAAATACTTTATCAATATTAAAAAAATGCTTACAGAAGTTTGATATGAAGTAGCAAGAGCCAAAGAATAACTATATAATTCCAGTTAGAAAACATAAAAATTATAAATTAAATTAGAAAGTATCATTTTGACAGGCCAGGATGCCCACACCTAGTTGCAACACATTAGATATAATTAATATTTTTGAGAATGCTCAAGAAACTTGTAAATTATATTATTTCAAGAAGTATAAAAAAATGAAAATAATGTTAGAGGGAAGAATAAAAAGAAATGACATTATGGAGAAAGGCAAATTTCATTTAGCAAGAATTTTTTTTACTTATAAGTTTTTTTTATTATCATTATGTAAATAGTAGCATTTTTTTTTCAAATCATGTACTACTGATCAAACATGACATGTTATAGCTAAACTAGCTAAATGGCTTGCCTTACTTTAATGCTCCTCTTAAAGTAAGGCAAGTTATTTAATCAGTTTAGCCACATATTCACCACATATTTGATCTGTACTATATGATTTGAAAATAACTAATAAATACCTCTAGCCTTTGATATGGCTTTTTAAGAAGTAAATTAATCAAATCACAAAATCAATATAAAAAAAATAAACAAGAAGTCAACCTTCAGAAAATTAACATTCTATAATGATCTTTAAAAATAGTGCCATGTGCATTCTGAAATAACGTACGAGTAACTTATTAATAGTTTCAAAGTCAATATCAAAATATCTGCCAACTTGATTTTGTGCAATCATATTATTTTATTAGTGATATTTTTATATCAATAAAAAGTTTCATCCAGATTCACTTTATTTCTGATTTCTCAGTGATAGAAAAATATGAGTAATGGAGTATATGTCATATCTTACAATGATTCCATGTATATATTTTTAAAAAATATCATGGCAGATTGAATATAATTAGGACAGGTTATATAATATATTTTTAATAGATTTGCCCCAAATCCTATAAGTTAAAATTCCAACATTTTGAATACTTAAAATTCTGACTTCTTAACATCCTGATATTACATTTGATGCAAAATATATATAGGTACATGTAATAAATAATGATTATATAACATTCTTACTCTTTCATATATATTTCTATTTTTTTAGAGATATCAGAATGTTAAATATATCAGGTGTTCAGGATGTTAGTATTTAGGATTTCATATCAATCTATAAAAGATTACCATTCTATTATATGTCATTATTTTGAAAAGATCAGATTTGGAAAATTAACCCTTTATTTTGAAATAATACCTATGTACATACTCGAAATAACATACAGATAACCACAATAATGTGCAAATACTCGTTATTTCACAGTTTTACATATTAGTCAGATGATTTATCATACATAAAAATTAAACATATTATGTCAATCAATTTAAAAAATTGATTAATCATACATATGAATTTTTTGTCCAAAGTTTTAGTCAAAATATACAAAGTTTCCTAAACCAAAATTATTGTTAAGATTTCTATGAATAGAATAGTGTAAAGATCACAAAAAACTAATATCTTCCTGTAAAGTGAAATATCTTTGAAATTAGTGTTCATTTTGCCTATTTTTGCTAGATTATTCTTCAGCTCACAAATTCTTGCCATAAAAAGTGATTCACCAGACATATCCAAACAATAACCATCTATAAAGTTTTATCTCAAGAGGTTAGTATATTACAAATATGTGGAAGAAAATTAGAAAAAGCTGTTTTATGGTATAGTATAGATGATAATATTTCTTTTAATTAATAAAAATTTTTTTTTATGATTATTAGAATGTATCTATTCAGTCAAACACGAGTTAAAATGTATGTAAGATTTAAAATTTCTTACCCATTTAGGCAAATGCTAATTGTTCTTAGCCGATACTTCAAGATTTAACTAAATAAAAAGAAGGTAATATAGAAGTTATAATGATAATTTGCTTTGGATTATATAGATTCTAACATGATATTCATCCTGAAATATATTTACACATATCTTTTTTGATCTCTTATATCAGTTATATTATTGATCTTGAACTTGTTTTGATATTCAATAATCAGTATATTATGACAACTTCTCTGGATAATATAATGAAATCTTTGTATGCTTCAAGCTATTTCAGATATTATTCTTTAATCGCTATGGATTTGTATTTTATTGGACATGATATTTGAAGTATGGATCCAGAGGACAGACTGATTCTAGATAATGGTATTGATTATAAGTCTTCTTTATTGATTTTTTCAACTTCCATATTAATTAATTCTGGATTGATTTCTTCAACTTTCATATTAATTAGTTCTAAGGCTTGTACAGAACTGCTGTCTCCTGCTTCTACCCTTATTTCTGATATACAGTCAGTCTTCTTCTTTTTTATCAGCTTCATAAGTATCAGATCCCATCTACCTCATCCTGCTTTTACTTGGGAAATAATATGATAAATATCTTGCTCAATAATGGTGATCATTCTTTTGATTCCTAATTTATAACAAGTAAATATTTGTTGGAAACCAATATCTATTAATTATATAGCTTCTGCAAATAAGGGATGTGATTCTGGCTATGAGCTGCTAAATCCTACTTTGAGTTCAGTAATTAATTTCCAAAGAGCTTCTTGACAATCCTTAACAAACTGTAAACTTCTGCTTACTGACTGATCTTTAGCAAATTCTAAAATCAACAAGTTAAGTCAATCATACTCTACTTGTACCACTTTGATATTCTGCTTTAGATTTTCTGAATTAGTCATCTATCCAGTCATATTTTTCTTTATAAACTTTATTCTGAATATTTCTAGAGCCTCATCAAAGACAAAATAATGCTTCTCACATATCAAGTTGATTGAAAACACCACCTGAAGAGCTTGAAGAAATCCTGACTTGCTTTAAAGATCTGACAAAAATTGTGCTATAAATGTAGCATATCTTCTTTTTCCTATTATAAAAAATAAAAGAGTGAAGATCATCAAGCTATGTATTTGCAGATTAAAATCTGCCATGCAAATATCAAGCATGTACAATTTCAAGTATCCTATCTATTGGTAAAAGTTATACCATACTTTAAGCAGATTGTTATTTATTATGAGGATTAGTGATAGGAGTCACAACTAGCCACAACTCTATCATAATTCTCTGATTGGCTACTGCAACTTTATCACAATTCTTTAATTAACTGCCATAAGCTACAACTAGTTGAGGAGCCATCTTTAATGAGAATATCACTAATAGAAATATTCTCTTCCTGAATATATAGATGAATTGTAACTCTAACTGCTATCCAAATGAGTTCAAGTACTCAAAATATTACCCGATAATTAGCAACTTGTTCAAGTCTATCAAGAAATTGAATATCAAGCTGTGCAGCAAGTCCAAAAAGTCTGTAATCAGAAAAGATAGCAATTAGTATACTGCATATTAACTTGTTAGTATATCATTTGCTCTTCATTCTTGTAATCTTTCATATAATAATAAATTGCTTCATCACACACCAAATGTAATACGCTATTCTCTATATAATCAAAGTCTTTAAGAAATATATCAACAGTCTGATAAATATACTTATTTTTGCTTGAAGCTTCTCCAGACTCAAGAATTACAATATTTGGAGACGCTACAAATAATGCTAAGTTAATATGTTTTTTAATAATTGCATCAAGATATTTAACATCAAATTTCTGCTCTTTATTAATTAATTGATCAAAGATGGTATTAATTTTTTCTTACCATTTTTTCATAATAGAACTTCTGCCAAATAGGTTTGAATTTTCTAATGATTTTCTATTTACATTGACAAGTGCTAAATATTGAAACTGAAAGACTATCTGCAATATCACATGTGCAGTATTACAAATTATATCAAAAATGTTATCATATTAAAAAGTATTATCTTTTATATCAATATTATCAATAACTACAAGATTTCAAATATTTGGATGCAGGTTGAGCCTTAACTGAGATTCTGCAGCTAATATTCTTTTTTTTTGAACATGCACTTCATGATTCCTAACATATAATACTATCTGAACTGTGTGAAGAATTTTGTGCAAAGATTTTATTATTTTTGATCATTGACAAAGAGAAGAAAGAATATGTGTAAATCATATTTTTCAATGGTGAAAGATAATAGTAAGTAAAATAGAAGTGAAAAAGAGAGGTAAGACTTTGGTTTTTTTTTATTTAATTATAATGGAGGTAAGTTTCTCTTCTTTCATTTTTTATTTAATATCTGATTCCTCTTTTCTTCTAGAACCAAAACCAAATTAACAAAAAGATTTAGAAGGGGTGATGGCATAGCATTATAGTATTCATCCAGAGATTCTGATTCTTTGAGTGATGATAATTTCTGCTTGAGTTCTGATCATACTTGTAATATAGAGTAGGTAAGTATTCTTTTAAAGTTCTTGCATGTAGTAATTTTTAATTACGTTACTTGTGCTTCTTTATTAACATTGATTTTTTTGATAGCAAACACTGTTTTGATTAAAAAAAACTTGAAATAGTAGAAATGATAGAAGATGTGCCAACAGTATTCTGTATCTTAGGTATATCCATGATAAGATTACCAAGAACATTAACAAGCTCTTTTAGTAAACTAACTTTTACAATTTCATTATCTGATATAGCGGTCTGTTCAATCTATTTATCAAATAATTTCAAAGTAAAGGTAGTATCAGTATTATATTGCTCTTGTTCTAAGCATGAAACTGATCATTTTCCTTTTCCTGGCTGAATATATAGATGGCCTTCATGTATTATAAAGCAGTTTGTGTAAATAAAATGAGAGTGATTATCAGTAAATAACTTAGTTGACAATCTATCATATGAAATTATTGCTAAACAGTTAAATAATTCATGACATGGAGCTTGAATTACGTATTTATACACTTTCTATGCATATATTAAACATGTTTTATCTCTTGTAAAAAAGTATTGAAGTTTCTTGCAAAATAAATAGCAGTATGATGTAATAATACTTTCTTCAGTTATTTATACTGTCTTTATGCATCTTCCTGTCTCAGGTTTGTGTATAGTATTTTGGTCATAGTTAAGATAACACAAATAAATATCCAGCTTTGAAATCTCATTTTCAACTTCTTGCACAGCTTTAGAGTCAATCTTTCACGTATCAGAAAGTTGTCCCATACTGTGAACTTCTGTATTATTGCATCTTTGGATTATGTGTTGATCATTATCATTATCAATAATAATATAATATGTTAGTTTAATAGCATAATCTGCAAGAGAAGAAATGGTTCTTTCAAATTTCTCCTTAAATATTTTCATCTCATTATCACTTTTGATGAATTCATCATCTGTTTTCTCAGTATATCTGGTGATTATTTCTCATGCTCTCTTAAATAAATGCCAATTAAATGTGAGAACTCCCTTATTATATGTCATCATTTGTTCAATATCAATGCTGGATTCTTGGTTAAAGTCATCATAAATCTCCTCTTCATGACCAAGTGAAACTTCAGGTAAGAATTTTATAATTTTTTGATTTTTGATTTATTTAATATAATAATTTGAATAAAACTAATATTATAGCACTTTGACTTATAGTATATATTTATAGATGTGTATTACAATAATAGCATTTGATTAACAATTATAATTGCAATTCTCTTTTTGAATTTCAATGTACATTTATACATATACTATTATTATTAGATGAGAACAATGTATATAATTCTATTAAGAAAAGATTCTTTATTTTTATGTTTAATACTTTAACAAATACATATTAAAATTTATTATTATTAATCATCATTACTATTATTCTCATCATCATTCTTTACAATTATATTATTATTTTTTACATGTATAATCTAATTGATAGCTAGATTATTATCTGTCATCTTCAAATAAATAATTGGTTTTCCCTCTTATCAAATCTATTAACAATTAGTTTTTCATTAATATTACATCACTTACCAATCTAATGAAAAGTGAGGGGATAAGTATAAGCAAGAGCGAGAATAGGAGTCAAGCAAAAGTGAAAGACTGAGTGGATAAGTAACATGCGAGAGTGACACCTAACTCCTGATATCTGCATCTTGAACTTTTAGAATTATAAGAATTCAAATGAGATGATCTATTAACTCGACAATTCAATTTCTCATTTAATTACCTTCTTCCAAATATCTATTTCATGAATATTCAAATTATCGTGTTTGAGCAAAGAAACTAGTGCAGTCTCTTGCAATTTTACAAAATTATTCAATTGAAAAACAGAATATTATTCTTTATTTGAATATATACATTTTGATATCTTATTACTAATAATCTCTTACAGTTGTAATCTAACCAATTCAATCAATCCACCCAACCTGAAGCCTCATAATCACTCCTGATAACTTGCAATTCAACCTATCCAACCTGAAGCCTCATAATCACTTCTGATAACTTGCAACTCATTTTTATATATAGTCCGTAACCACTTCTGGTAGTTTATAATTACATTAGTAATTCATAACTACACTAACTGCTTCAAAAACCTTTCCAAATTGGTGAGATGAGAAGCTCTATAATGTTGCCATTATTATATACTATAATGTGATGAATAATCTTTGCAGATGAGATTATTCTCAGCTTTATTTTTTATCTCCTTTCAAACTTGCACATAAGAAAGCACTCATCTTACTGAACTGTAGCATAGCATTACATGAGTACAGTTTCTGTTTAGGAACCTTTAAAAAAACGAATAAAGAAGGCTGCTACTGTAATTTACATATAAATAATGAGATGTCGATCTCTCAAATTATATAGAAGAAAATTTACTCCACAGATCTGCGTGACAAATCGTGTGACTGATATGTAAAATTTCGTTTTTTGTTTTTTTTTGATTTTTTTCGTTACACATTGATAAGGCTAGAGGTATTAGGAGTATTGATTGGTTGTTTTCAAATCATGTGGTGCAGATCAAATTTGTGTCTAAACCGGCTAAACGGCTTGCCTTGCTTTAAGGAACCCCAAATCTTTACTATAACAATATTTATTGTCCCAAATCACAACCGGTCTAAAGGTTATATATTAGAACTGTAAAAATCATGTGACTTGAGACTTTTCGTCATGCTTAGATTTTTCTATACAACGAATATTTTTATAGCAGTAATTAAAAATAACATTTTAAAATAATAATAATATCTGTAAAAATAAAATGCATATATTTAACTATTATACATCTTCCACAACGACCATGCCAAAAGAGGACGATAAGTGTTTTGAACACGGAAGTGGAAAATTGATATTGGTGCCATTACTGGAATTCTACTTAAAAGCTATATCCAATTCCATACGTAATTGCAAATACGTAATGTAATATTACGATTATAAATCACCATTCGTCTACTTTTTGGTTTAACTTATATTTTTCATTGCAACGCATGAACAACTCCCAAAAATCAGCGAAACATACAATTCGCTTAGCTAGAAATTTTCTTCAGTATAGGTTGGTCATCCATAATCCTGAGATATTAATCATTAGCAATTGTTACCACGAGCCAATTTAAAAAATTTAATAAAAAGGTATTAAGATATTAACTATACCGATATATCTAGTTAATAGTCTATAACTTTCCCTTTTTAACAATCAAAATCTAAGATAAATTTGCAAAATAAAAAACTGTCCGCAATACTTTGGCACACTGTATATATAATCTACCTATACTAACAAATTTTGTTTACACTTTCTCTTTCCTTTCTCTACATCAAGGTATGTAACTATCACGTTTATTAAGCTATTCTGAGAATCATCCACCTTGATGTATTTTGGCTTATCTCTTAATATAAGATCCATGGATAAAACCTATTTTTCCCAAACAGGATGAAATATACCGTAACCAGAACACTAGTTGCAAAGGTGAGTACGTCAACAGCGACTGAAAATGCCCTAATCACCTGATACTCCTCCGTTTTCGTTATGAAAAATGGGTCTAGTTTAACCTCGATAGGTATGTCTTTTCGATAAACTTGTGTAATGAGCTTGTTTGGGAAAAAAATCTGGTTAGTAATGTTAAAATAGGTTCGACTCTCAATTGAATAGGAAATTAGAATTTCATATTCAGATCCAGTATTATAAAGCCATGACAAATTCTGCATGTCTGGATTATCAAGTGGGTCGAATTAAAGCAATGCTATACATTCCTTTGTATGATTATCATAATAATTAATGTTCATCTTCAAGTTATTCCACTCGGGGAGATAACGGATCCGTGGTATTGATTGTCCAACAATTAGTCAATACTCCCGCGATTCCCAATTGACTCTCAGGCATAATAAGTTTGTATTCTTTTGTGGCCACGGTGGCCCCGATGTTACATTAATAGAAGATCGATGTCTTCCGAACATATTAAGAAGCCAGGCATCGGGAGTACCGGAAGATATTCAGGTTCCAAGGTGCGTAGAAAGGTCGGCTGGTCTTTAAACCCCTTATATTAGTAAATGATATAATAGGCCAGCACAAAAACTAGCACGAAAATAACCATGAACTTGGCGACTAAAAGTCGCTTTGACTGCCTTTTTTGTTTTTAATCGGTCAAATTGTTTATCTATATAAATATACTTGGGATTTTATAGCATCATACTTTAAATGAAACATGCATATATCATTCAAGTTTTCTTCAAATATAGAAAACTAGCCCCATTTATATTTTGATATTTACACTTATTTGGTGAGTACACAGCAAAAAAGACGACATCAGAAATCTGATATGATCTGGAATGTTAAATAAATGTTGATCTTGGTTTTTTTTTTGAAAAAATTTTTTATGTATGGTCTCTTGAGGCTCAATATCTCCGAGACCCATTGGTGGAAATTGAGTGTAAAGCCCACCATTCGAATCACTAGAATTTAGGGAATCGGATGGTGGTTTTACATTCCATTCCCGCCACTGGGTCTCGAGATATTGAGTGCCAAAGAGGCCGTACGGGAATTTTTATTTGGCAATTTTTGTGCACGGCTCAATATCTCAAGATCCAATGGCGGGAATTGAGTGTAAGACCCACCATTAGATTCACCAGAACTTAGGGAATCGAATGGTGAGCTTTATATCCAAATTCCCACCGCTGGGTCTTGAGATATTGAGCTCCAAAGAGGCCGTGCACAAAAATGATTAAATAAAAATTTCCATACGGCCTCTTTGGAATTCAATATCTTGAGACCCAATGGCGGGAATTAAATATACAGTGGTTCATGGAATAAATGGAACACGAAAGTTTTACCGAAAAAATTCTAGTGCCTCTAACATCGATTAAATGTACCTGGTTCCTATAATTATTTTAAAGCTAACAATTTAGAGAATGACTTAAGAAAGCCTAAAAAATATATTAATGTTGCCATTCTAAAGAAATTGAGTATTTACATAAGTAGTGAAATTATAACTCCGAATAGATTTGTTATCAGAGAGGATTGAAGCAGATTGACCTAATAAAAAATGTGCTTCCTAATGAGAACCAATTTTCAGCAAAAAATGTTATCAAATTCGTTTAGTTATCAATACTAGTAAAAATAATTCAACGATTTTTTTGCTAGCATACAGCTTTTGCTGAAAATCGGTATGTAGATATGGTCTGGTACAAAAAGATTGGTACATCAGATAAAGATTAATAGATTATTTTTTCAAAATAAAATTTTAATTTTGTCTTATTGGGATTTATTTAAATTTTTATTATATATCTTTTATAAAAAAAATTTTACTAATA